GGAGGAGGAGGAGGAGGAGGAGGAGGAGGAGGAGGAGGAGGAGGGCAACGATGACAACTACTACTGTGGGGTCCTCAGTGCTCTCTAAGTTGGTTGTTTTCTTGCAGACGTTTCATGGCCAAACTAGGTAACATCATCAGTGCTAGAAGGGAGTGGGGTTTGCTCTCTGTTGATACACAAGTAGTTTGCCTTGCCTTGTCAGCGTTGGTGGGTTTGGTTGATTCTCTAACTGCCCATCTCACACATGTGATTCTGGGCAGCTTACAAGGTTAAAAGAGAAAAAAAAAATTCCATTTAGAAATATTTTTGAGCAGGAACTGGAAGAAATAATAATACATGGTAGGTTTCCAAACCCACCCACCCCCACCCGTTCTAACATGGTCCTTTTCATTCCCCATAACATATTTTACGAACCACAACAAATAGATTTATGCCAGTGGGAATAGATAAGATTTCCATTTCCGCCAAAAGCTTTCTTAATTGCCTAGAACGTTTTTGCCCGACGACACATTAAACAGAACATCTTAACTACAGCTTCATGAAAACCTCGTTTCTCACTTTCTCCAGACTCTTTCCAAGTGACATAATAAGCCGCCGCTAAAAAGTGGAAGGACAAAGAGAATATAGGGTGAGTCACGGCCATACCCAGTCCCCCTTTTCTGCCATCTACCCCCAATAATTATGATTAATATTGACCCGTGTCCTTTGTCTCTCTGCAAGAATTGGGAAACGTCCCAGTGAAGCAAGATATCTATGGAGGTTCAGATCATGGTTGTCCCAATGGTGCTTTTTTTTCCCCCAAAAAAGCACCTGGATTTTCTGGCTTTTTTTTTTTTTTTTTTTTTGTGAAGACGTTTCACTTCTCCTCCAAGAAGCTTCTTCAGCTCTGACAGGATGGTGAGGAATAGAAGGATTTATACCCCTTGCAGACAGCTGGTCATTTGCATCCTTTTTAGAGAGCTAATGGGGCCACCTCATGGAGGTTTGTCTGTGTTAAGGTCATAAGTCTGTTCATTGTGTAGACTGTCTCTCTTTTTGTGAAAAACATTCCCGCAATTCAAACCCATTCAATTTACTGACACTGGACTGACATTTGTCAGAAGTGATGCGGGGTCTCCTGGCTTGGGCGGCGGGTTGGACTAGATGACCTACAAGCTCCCTTCCAACTCTGTCGATCTGTTACTTTCTGTAAACTAACAAACGTAGAGAAAGCTTCCATAGAACTTAGAACCATCAGGCTGAAAGGGACTTGGAGGTAATCTAGTCCAGTGGTTGCCAACCAGTGTGCCGGGGACCACTGGTGGTTTGTGAGAAAATTTTGGTGGTCTGCAGAGAAATGTCACCCTCAAAGCAATTATTCTGGGCTGTGCAGGAACACAAGGCTGTGTTGCTCACATGGCCCATGGGAACACAAGGCTTGCATCGCTTGCATTGCGAACAACACAAGGGAGTGAGGGAAGAGGGGAAAGGGCGGAGGGAGGGGAATTTGCCCCGCTCACCCCATGCGCCTGGCCTGGCCACCGGGCTGCTTCTTTCTGCTCCTTTCTTCTTCTTCTGCATGCAAGGAAAGCAGCAAAAGTCTTTCTTTCTCTCCTCTAAACTTTTTGGGACCCTGCAAGGCCTCCTGCTCCAAGAGGCTGCGCCGGCAAAGACTCATTTCTGGCGGCGTTTGGGGGAGAGAAAGAAAGACTTCTGCGGCTTCTGCTGTTTTCCTTGCATGAAGCCAACAGTCTCTCTCTTTCTCTCTCTCTCTCTTTCCCCCTGAGAACGGAGCTGGAGACGGTATCCTGCGATCCCAAATAAAGAACGATCGATCGGTAGGAAAACGGGGTGGGGAATTTTCCTGCAGATTTTTGGGGGGGGATTTCCCCAGGGTCTCTGGTCCGCAGGATTTAAAATTATGAGTTTGGTGGTCCCTGAGGTCCAAAAGGTTGGCGACCCCTGTTCTAGTCCAACCCCGACTCAAGGCAGGAGATTTTATGCCATCCCGGTTGAATGGTTGCCCAATCTTTTCTTGAAAAACCTCCAGTGATGGAGAACCCACAAGTTCTAGAGGCAGGCTGTTCCACTGGTTAATTGTCCTCACTGTCAGGAAATTCCTCCTTAAGTTCTAGGTTGGGTCTCTCCTTGATAATTTCCCATCCATTACTTCTTCTCCTGCCTTCATCTAGAGGTTATCTTGCAAACTTATATATTGTTGCCTGTATCATATCAGTTGGGGATTTCTTCCAACACCCCCCCAAGATTCACAATTTTCTCATGGAACAATTATCTGGGATTCTCATTTATTGAACCATGAAATGGTGACAAACCTCTGAGTAATAGCTGCTAAGTGTTGATGATGAAATGACAGTTCCTGGGGGAAACATATGAAACTATAGCATCACCAGGAATTCTAGGTTCACGGGAGGGAGACAGGGAGGGAGGGAAGGAAAGGGAGAGAGGGGAAGAAGGAGAGAGGGAGAAAAGGAGGGAGGGAGAGAGAGATTAATGGGAAGAAAGAGAGGGAGGGAGGGGAGGGAGGAATAGAGGGTGGAAAGGAGTGAAGGAGAGAGGGAGGAAAGGAGGAAGGGAGGGAGAGATTGATGGGAAGGAAGAGAGGGAGGGAGAGGAGGGAGGAATAGAGGGTGGGAAAGAGGGAAAGAAGGTGAGGGAGGAAAGGAGAGAGGGAGAGATTGAAATGGGAAGGGAGGGAGGGAAAGGAGAGAGGGAGGAAAGGAGGGCGTGAGAGAAAGAGAGGAAGAAAGGAAGGAGCAGGGGAGAGGAAAGGAAAGGAAAGGAGAGGAAAGGAAAGGAGAGGAGAGGAGAGGAAAGGAAAGGAAAGGAAAGGAAAGAAAAGGAAGAAAAATAGAAAAGGAGAGGAGAGGAAAGGAAAGGAAGAAAAATAGGAAAGGAGAAGAGAGGAGAGGAGAGGAGAGGAAAGGAAAGGAACACAGGAAGGAGAGTGAGGGGAATGAAGGAAGTCAAGAACGAAGGAGAGAGAAAGAAAGAAGAGAGAGACAGAGAGACACACACAGAGATAACTCAAGACTAAAAAATAAATATCCTCTTTAAGACCTGTTGTGAATCTATGGAAAGCTTTCACACAGAAATGTCCCAATCAATCTTTGATTAAATCTGTGCCATCGTTTCAGACTCCTGACACCAGTGGTGGGATTCAAAATATTTTACTACTGGTTCTGTGGGCGTGGCTTGGTGGGCGTGGCAGGGGAAGGTTACTGCAAAATCCCCCTTCCCTCCCCACCCCACTAACCTGCTTTCCAGCTCCATTCTCCTGTGCAGGGCAACCAAAGGAGACCCAGCCGATCAGCTGGGACTTGGGAGGCAGAGAATAGAAGGGTGTGGCCAGTCAAAGGCGGTATTTGCCAGTTCTCCGGACAACTCAAAATTTCCACTGCTCCAGAACCGGTCAGAACCTGCTGAATACCACCTCTGCCTGGCATCCCCATAACTCAAGGAATGGAGCCCTTGCAGGGAACCCCGTGTTGCCCATTTGCCTGACCCCAAAACCTCCCAGAAGCCTTCGCACCTTCACTGCAGAGAGAGCAGCCTTCTGAATCTGGCAGGAACCACCCCTGCTCTTAACGTCTGCGCCATCGATCCTGAACTACTATTTAAAAAGATGTTGAGACGCTAGAAAAAGTACAGAGAAGAGCAACCAGGATGATGAGGGGACTGGAGGCTAAAACATGCGATGGACGGTTGCAGGAACTGGGCCTGGCTAGTCTAGTGAAGAGAAAGACCACGGGAGACAGGATAGCGGTCTTCCAATATTTGAGGGGCTGCCACAGAGAGGATGAAGGGGTCAAGCTATCTTCCAAGGCCAGACAAGGAATAATGGATGGGAACTGAACAAGGAGAGATTCAACCTAGAAATAAGGAGAAATTTGCTGACAGTGAGAACAATCAACCCATGGAATAGAAGTTGCCCTTGGAAATTGTG